TCAAAAATATAAACCAAAAGGTGATACAGAAACTCAGGGGACAACAGAAAGGACACTGAGCTCCAGGAGACACAAGTCTAAATAAAACAGGAACTGGGTTCTAAAAATGAAAAAAAAAAAAAATAATAATAACTACTACTAAATGTTGAATCTTTAGGAAAGGCCAAAGGTATCCAAAAATACTCACATAAATACAAAACCACTGACAAAGAGCCATATTGTGAATGGCGATTGTAAACAATTTCTGGTCAAAGCGTTTATCTGATTTAGAAGTGATATTTTTATTTATTTTTTTTTTTCACTTTTACAATCATATTTGGCAGTACTCCTGATAGGAAATCTTTTCCATACTCAATTCAAAGTACTTGTCTCATACAGGAATCAATGGTGCCATACTGCCTCCTCTTTTCCTTTCCTCTGTAAATAATCTTCCACTTCTATGCTCACATAATAATGGTTTAAAAGTCCAGTAAATAATTTTTGGAAAAAAAAAATGCTAAGAGTTGAAGATATTTTTAGTTGTTACAGGTCCACTTTGTTCCCTCACGGGAGAGTTATTAGCTTCAGCCCTTCTGGATCAGCTAATCTTGATTTAAGCAAATGAAGTCACCAAGAGGGAATTTATTAGCTGCTGATGTCCATTTAAAAGAAATTCATTTAAATAGTCTAAGCTTTCCACTGACTGAAAAGTTTAATTTTTCATGTAATTAATTTTTCTTTACTTAACCAGGTCAAGATTGAAATCTAGATCTGCAAAGGAGGATTTGGGCAGAAAATCTGGAGCTCTGGTAAATTTTTATTCATTTTGTGTCAGCCCGCCTTTCTGTCTGTCAAGTGGTTTGATTAATGCTCAGAAAAACAGCCCACCAGCGGGATTTTGAATACAATATGTCTTTCTCTGCTTTACCGCAGACTGACGACAGAAGGGAACTAAAGCAAATCCGAATCAGTCAATTAAACATGAAGAAAATATTCCCAAAGCAAGCAGCAGCTCTGTCTGTTCATTTTTCCACACGAAACCTTAAAATGTCACATGAGGTGAAATTATCAGACGGTTATTGTTTTTGTTCAGTTTTTCTAATCTGGTGAATTTAAGGGTCCCATGCTGTACTCTTGAGTTTTTATTACATGACAACCTGTGGGCTCAGAATCAAAATCAAAGAGCCAGAGGGGGACAGAGAAATCCAAAACTCAAAACTATTTGTTGAGGCAAATTCAGAGCAGAAATGGAAATATTTGGTTAACTCTGTGGCAAACGGTTGGCGGTTTTGGAGCGGCCCATAGGTGAAATGGAGGGAACAGCTGGCCCTTTGTTTGTGGATAGAATGGTGCACTCTGCGGGGTCACTGTAGGGGGCCCCCAGCATCACAGACACGAGGACACACAAACACACACTTACACACGTGACAGCTTGCACAGGCATGTGCACGCATACACAAAAAAACATAACATTCCTCTGCTTCTATGAATGTTTTGTTAATCATGTGAATGGGTCACAGAGTTACACCCCAAGCATAACTACAGTCTCCATAGACACAAACTCACTCACTCACTCACTCGTGCTCGTTCTCACACTCAATATAAGCAGAGTGGGTGAGACTCCTATAGTGGGATTCCAGGTCCTTAATAACCCCTCAACCAGTGTCAAAGTCTGGCCCAAAACCAATGCCTGTTGCAGGCAGACTGTGTAGTACTCAACGTATATCCTGCTTTTTACTCTTATTTCTTAAAAAAAAAAAAAAAATGTTTCAAGACACATGGAGATATCTGAGGATAAATATACTAAAATTAAAAACAAGGATTAACTGTGGAAGAATTAGTTATGTTACAGCAGGAGGAATAAACGAAAATACTCCACACACATTAGTCCATAAATTTGGTTATGTATAATAAAGTAGAATGGCAAAGAAAGTAAGTGTTCAAAAGGATGAAAAGGAGAAGCTGCAAAATGACATAGAAAAAAAAAATCAGCTGAAGTGTGTCAGTATTTAGACAGCAATTCTTTCATGAAGGTTTGTCCTTTGTGTTTCTGTGATATTCTTTGATAGACTGGTGACCTGTTAATTCTGCAGAAAAAAAGTCCACTCACACCAAACTTCAGAAAGACCTGCAAATAGCAGGGATGGTATTCTTTTGGGGTGGAGTTTGCATGTTTTCCCTGTGCATGCGTGGGTTCTCTCCGGTTACTCCAGCTTCCTCCCACAGATCAAAAACATGACTGTTGGGTAAGTTGGTACAGTGTATGTGTGTGTGTGTGTGCGTGTGTGTGTGTGTGTGTGTGTGCGTGTGTGTGTGTGTGTGTGTGTGTGTGTGTGTGTGTGTGTGTGTGTGTGTGTGTGTGTGTGTGTTTGTTTGGTTGTCTGTCTCTGTGTCTCCCTGCTATGGACTGGCGACCTGTCCAGCAGGTACCCTGCCTTTCGCCCAATGATTATTGAAGATAGCTCCCACCACCCCCCACCCCTTCCCTTGTGATTCTGCAAGGAGAAGCGTTCATGAAAACAATAAGTAATTCACCACGTCTGACCTAAAACCGTCTAAAAGGTGTTAAACAAGGAGAAATTCCAAAACAATCGCTACTTGTACCACACACAGTCTCACACATGCCGGAAGGTTAATTCCTCTCAACGCTCGATTCCCCCACTGAGAGTCGAACACAACTCCTGTTTGGTTTGGACAGCACTGAGAAAGGACCTCCATGTTGAACAAACTGTAGCACAGTGTGGTCCCTGTAATAGAGCCTGAGGAGTCAGATACAACAGGAGTTCAGTGCTGCTGGCAAGATCAGAGGCCAGTGATGTCCAGTTCTTCTAACGTTTCAGTAGTAAGCCATCTATCCCAGAAACCTTAGTCATTTCATGCATCCATGCAACCATGTTGGTAGAATTTCTTAGGTCACTGATTAGTGGCCTAAATTTTGGGATAATCTGAGCAGATATTAACTGTGTTCTAATTTGTTTTGTTTTGTTAAAAAATGTCACTTCACTTAAATAAATGTAAATTTTCACAGCAGAACATTTTACCTCTTGGTACCTACACTGCTTTGCAAAAGTTATCATCCGGCTTATTTTTATTGCACATATTGTCCAATTACAATCACAGAAACTTCAAATTATTCTATTGAGTTTTGACGAACACAAAGTAGTGCATACATTTGAAGTGGAAAGAAAAGCATCCATGGTTTAAGAACTTTTTTTCTATCACTTTAGTTAATCATTTTTAGGACCACCTTTCGCTGAGGTAACACCTGTAAGTCTTGCCACAGGTTATCTTTTTGCTTTAGGTGTGGATTCTGATTGTGTCTAACACATGGATGTGCTTTAAACTAAGATTTCCGTGACGATCCTGGAAGATGAACCTCCTCTGATCAGCTTTCCTGATCCTGAGGAAGAATAGCCGTGATCCGCTCCATGTTTCACTAAACACTAACAAATATCCAAGGTGGACCCATTTTACTAATTAGGCTCTAACGGGTAATTGCTTGCACTAAATCTTAGTTTGATGTACCAGAGTTAAAAGGATGTAAAATGTCTGGTTGAAATGTGACAAAGTATGAAATCCTCAAGGAGTCTGAATACTTTTTCAAAGCACTCACTAACTCATTACATTGTGCGTATTTACTGCTGTACGCTTTGGCCATTTCATGCTCTTTTCTTCACATTTGAACTTTCCTTCCTGTGCTCATGCGTGTTGCATGTGCTCTAAGGCTAAACTTTTTTCTGAATTCTGTACCTTCTTAACCTCTTTGTTCACTTTCTGCTTTCTTCACCAGAAGAGAGCAACAAGACAGCCCCCGTGTTTTACCACTTGTAATCACAAAGCATCAGCTCGTTGTTGCGCAACTATTTTCAGTTTTTATGTATAGTTAATTCAAGAGAAACAGCAGCAATATTTTTTAATATTGTATAGCCACAAGCCCTAATTTACATAAGAGGGGTCAGTCATCTTACTAGATTTTTCTCTTCAAAGATGAAACAGGGTGGAGAATTGCATGTATTCAGTAAAATGACCACAGCAGTTAATCATGGTTTGTTTTTCATCTCAGTATAAGTCAACACCAGATGGGAAAAGGAAAACCGATGTGTTTGTGCGGTATGACAAAACCATAAAGCATGCCACTTCAGTGAGCTACTCTACTGTCACTAAAGCATGCATGGACACACAAACACACATGGATGCCCTAAGAGAGGTCCCGATTTAAGAGCTAACGCTGGTGTGGAACATAGTGAAAAGGAGTATTCTGCGCGGCCCTTGGGGGCCACAAAGGTATTGAGTAGTCCTCTGTGCGTGTGTGTGTGTGTGTGTGTGTGTGTGTGTGTGTGTGTGTGTGTGTGTGTGTGATACACACAGTGTTTCTGCAAAATGACCTGAGAGGCCCCAGCTAGTTACAGCCTCTCTGCTGGAGACCACCACCACAAAACAAGCATTGTTGGTACAGAACCCCAGACACTAGATTAAACACTCTGTGAGCACAAACACACAAAAATACATGCAGCACAGACCAAAGTGTTACAAGTTTGAAGCCAGTGTGCTACTTGAAATGAACAAATTCAGCGCCAACACCATAAACACCTTAAACACTGTACAAAATGCCAAGCGGCCTGCTCTAACAATAGCCCCCCTGGGTTGTTGGTCGGACTATTATTGTAGGTGTTTCTATGCTAATTATGTGTGACTGAGGCCATGTCAAAAGCAGTTACTGGAAATAAAGTGGCGAGCTGGAAATTATGAGGTAGAATTACTTTGCCCGCAAGGAGGGAAAAAAAAGCATTTCAGTTGACCAAATGGGTTCAGATTTTGTTTTCAAAAAGAGATCCAAAACCGCATGCAAGGAAATATAACATCGTCTTCTTTAACATCTCGGGCAGGGAGAAAAGGGGGTCAGCCTCATGACCTTCACTTCTGGCTCTTGACTCTGCAGGGACCCCGTTGGCTGACGGGATTGTGCGTCATCGCCTCTTGCCGCTCCAGTGCTATAACCCCCCTGGAAGCCGCTGGCGATCACACAAGTGTTAAAGTACCAGCCCCAACTGTTGCCCGGACCAACCCATCCAGCATCCAGGTCCCACACAGTCCGACAGAGAGCAGAGAGAGTGCGCACGGAGCGCATAGGGGAAAGTCGTGCTTTTATACAGCGTGGATTGTTTTTATCATTCGTTTTGGACATTTCTCTGCACGTTTCCTCTTTTTTATATATTTTTGGAGTTTTTGCTGGATCGTTCTCGGCCCATAAACGGCAGTCCTTATTATGACTTCCTCGCACCTGTCTCTACTGACGCTGATCTGCGTCCTGGCCTCTGCATCGGTTACCGGAGACACCGGCTTCCTCCAGCTCTCAAGTGACTTTGATGAGGACATGCTCTCCCGGCATATGCATAGGTTGTACGAGAAATATAACAGAGAAAAGCGCCTGAAAGAAGGAAACACTATCAGGAGTTTCAGAGCCATCCAAGGTGTGTAAACAAGCTCACCTGCATGACGCATGGGTGCTCAAATGAAGCAATTTAGGAGACGCTGTGCAGCAAAAATACGAGTCGTGTTTTAAAATGCATTGGGAATTGCAAAGAACTAAATGTGCAGGATAAGAAGTTCCCCCAGTTATTTCCATTAGCTGCTACTCAAAATGCAGACGCCCAGCCGGCCCAAGTCATACATGAACAAAGCTCCAAATCATGTTTGCAAAAAAGAAAAATTGAAAGACTAAATAAGAGATCATGTGGAGGAAAGTGTTAAGCTCACAGTAGTGGTGGGATGCAATAAAACTGTCTTGAATTAGAGGCATCAAGTAGCAATACTTAACACAGTAGCTATATTTATTTTTCATTCCAAATACTATTGAATAAATAAGTCGAAACATATGCAAGCGCATCAAAAATATAACTACTTATTTTGTCTCTGAACTTGCACCAGGACTTGTGTAGCAAGTAGTGGCTGTAAAGCTCATGCTCACAGCAAGATGTTTTGAAATGATGCTGTAGCCTTGAAGTGCAGCAGTACTCAAAACAAAAGTGAACTCTCGAGGGATTACCGCCACCCGGAGAGTTTGCATCAGTGTGACTGGTGGACCAGAAATGGTGTAACCTAAAAAGAAGCTTTTAATTATTTGATTGTTTTATAATAATTCTTAGAAATTACTGTATTAAAGTCTGCATTAATAGTCATAAATTAATGTTGAAAATCAGTTCAGCAGCTTATTGTGTCTGTGAAGGAGTCTTATTTTATTGACATTGTAGTAGACAATGCATTATTTCTAGCAATTTCTTGTTAGTGAAACAAAAAATTGTCTTATAACCTGCAGATATTGAAATTATTTAACTAAGTTTGCATTCCTCTCGATTTTTTTTTCTATTGCTACTATGGCCCCACCACCTTTTGTGAGCTTTAGCATCTTGATCCCTTATATCAAGATGCTAAAGCTCTTGATATAAGTGCTTTATATCAAGAGCACTTATATCAAGTGCAAATCATGAAAATTTGATTTGAGGAGGCAAATCATGAAAATGTGCCTCCACATTTCTGTTGCCAACATAAACTGTAAAGTTCTGTCTAGTTGGTCAAAACAAATTACAAGCATTCAGAATAAGAAAGCGTGACACTAGTTAAATCATTTTTGGAGGGGATTAATTGTTTGCATTCAATGGTATTTCAGTTACATTTGTGATGTAATATAACAAAATTTTTTAGAGTAAATAAATTAGAATTGCTACAAGACTGCCGTACCATCGGAATAACTCAGATTAAAAAAACTTGCCTCCACGTTTATTTACATATGTGTTTACTCAGTAAATCGTTCTAAATAGTTTCAGGGGGCCAAATAAAACTTTTTTGCGTTGGGCCCCAAACAATCTAAGGCCGGTTCTGCACTCTAAATATCTAGGATTGTTTTGGATCAGTCTGAGAATGCGTTTAAATAGTTTCAGGATGCTGTGAGTTCATTGGGGCTCTGGAAGCAAAGGCGCCACTCGCATGCAGGGTCCGATCAATTACCCTAGACAGACTCAAAAGAATGCGTTTGAGCCATGTGCAGTAAAATAGAATACAGTTTTAAAAAAAAAACTCAGGGGCAGGCAGATATGTGTGCAGAGCAGGGTCACTGTCGTGGCTTCTGTGTTTAAGTTAGTTGGTCCTGAGGGGAACGAGCGACTCCACGTCCTGGAAGCAGGAGGCTTAATGCGCATTCTTTCCTCTCTGTCTGAAGCTGAAGAGTATAAATGCGACTCTTCATTTATACACTGCAGAGCTCTCAGATAGCATATCATAACATGTGTGTATTTTTACTGCAGAGGCTCGATGTAATCCAAGGAGACATGTAAGAGACTTTTCAAAACGGTTTGAGGACTGCTGAAAAAGTTGATTGTATCTCAGTGACTGAGCAGGCTGTAGCAAGCTTAAAGGAAAGCTTCAACTGAAACTGAGGATAAGCACTTCCATATGCAGGCTGAATTCGGGGTAAAATATATCTTTTCACTCAGTCCACACTTCCGCTGAACTCTTACACAATGAACAATAACTCTGCTGTTGAAGTTAATGTTGATCATGAATATGCAGCCTCCCGCTCACCCAGAGTCTGGTTCCTCTTAAGGGCACACCTTCTCACACCCTACCAATGAGCTGCTCAAGAGTTTCAGGGTTCAGTCATGTAACAACGTAAGGAAACGCCTTTGTCCTATTTTGGGGGGGACTTAACCACGTATAAGTGCCTTTGGCTCAGAGATTTTCCTTTTTCGAAATGTATTGCCTTTAATCTAAAAAAAAATCTCAAATAACCGAGTTCAAACGTGGTTCAGCTTCTCGTTGCCTTAACCTGCTCTGTTTTTCTGTTTGGTCACGACTGTCATATTTTCTTCATAGACCGAAAGCATTTTCAATTGATCCTGGTTAATTTGTTAATGCAAAAGGGGTTCCACTTTAGGGCTTCAGAAACAAAACTTCAAAAAATATATAAAGACACATTTGGTCCAGTGATGCTAAAGGCATAACGATCAAGTTTGGGATGATGGTGGCGACGGTGGTAGGAGTTTGTTCTGCAAGACACTTGGGAAACATGCTTCACCTGCCTTGCCTGCTGGTGGTGGTCAGAGGCCTGGTGTCATCGGTGCATTGCAGCATCGTCTCTGTAAATGTGACCTACAGCAGCTGTGGCTACTATCTGGGTAGTTTGCCATCATTAGCATGTAAATGTGTGCATGAATGCATTGTGAAGTGCTATACAAGTACAGGTCATTTACTATTTAAAACCAGGGAAGGGTCAACATTATCAATAGCTGGTCCCCATTAAGACTTCCTCTACATGGACACCAGCTGAACCAGGAAAAGACTCACAGAGACACACAGCTCTCACCTTCAGGTAAAATGTTGTGGCTCTGTTCTGCACTGTGCATAGTGTAATTTGCAGCTTACTGATCCCCAGTAAAGTAAACACACGCCAAGCTGACTTGTGTTTACTTTAAGTTTGCCATGAAAACAAAAGAAAGCCTTTTGCCCGGGCAAGCAGCAAGTCAGCACGAACTGATTAAAAGTTCCAAGGAATTCTGATCAACTTAAAAATGAATTGTGCATTTTAAAAAATGAGTTAGTTACTTATAGAACATAAACATATTTGCATAAATATACTTAATAATGTAATTTTATTCATAAATCTTAGTTGATTCTCCAATGACTTTGTGCTGACTCTATGATTTAATGTTTCTACAGACTTTGCTGACCACAGGATTGTGTACAGACTTAACCTAACAACCCTTCAGGAATCAGAGGCCATCCTCTCTGCAACATTCCACTTCCTGCTAGATAAGCACACACTTACAAGACCCTGGTTCTGCAAACGCTTCAAGAGCCCATCATGTCACTCTGCATTCACACAACCTTCTCCGCCCATCAGCTTGATGTTTCGCTCCCACTCTTCTGGGTCAGAGGTTAGATCTGAGCCGGTGGAGTCATCTCTAGGTAACGTGACCTTTTACCCCCACAGGAAAGGGGTTTGGCAGATGAAAGATGTGACCAAGGTAATAAAGGAAGCTCAAGCTAGGGGTCAGTTTTTGCTGTCGCTGGAACTGGACTTTGGACAACAGCCCCATAAAAAACAAGGGGATGTTTTCTCTGCTGTCAGCATGCCCTACCTGTTACTGTATGCCAATGACCTAGCTTTAGCAGAGCCAAACAGTGTTGCTGCTAGCCTTCAGAGATATGACCCAATAAGTGAGGGAGCAGAAGTCCTGCACAGGTCTAACTCCTCACCGAGACTGAAGGGACGCATAAGAAGGCAAACGGATCCGCTCCCTGACACCATTCAGAACAACGAGTTGCCCAACGTCAACCTCAGACCCAGTAAATACAGAAAAGAGGACCTGTGGGAGATCAACTGGCACCTCACATTCAAACCGAAGTTTAAAGCAGAGAGGAAAGAAAAGACGGGGAAGAGTCAAGACAGGGCCAGAGAAGAGCGAGACAAAGCTGAACCTCAGACCCTCAAAGGAGGAGAAAGAATAGCACAAATTAAAACGGACGATTCAGGTACCCTCAAAGAGAGTCCAACACTTTCTCTTGGTGACAGACAGAAGAATGAGCGGAACAATCAGGGAAAACACAAGGGCCGGGTTCACACTCAGTCATCTGTTCTGAGTTTTGATGAACAAACAATGCGAAAAGCCAGGAGACGGCAGTGGGGCCAGAACAGACGCTGTTCCAGGAGGAACCTAAGAGTGGATTTTGCTGATATTGGCTGGAATGAATGGGTCATAGCCCCCGAGTCATTCGATGCCTATTACTGTGCTGGTGCATGTGGTTTTCCCATGCCTCAGGTAGGAGTACACACATCCAACATCTTCTCTTGTCTCTTTCTACATTGCCTTATATCCTGGTCACAATTGCATGTTTCTTCTTTTCTTAAACCTTATCAGGCTGCCAGGCCATCCAACCACGCCACCATACAGAGCATAGTCCGAGCTGTTGGGATCATCTCTGGGATTCCTGAGCCCTGCTGTGTCCCAGAAAACATGAGTCCCCTGGCTGTGCTCTTCCAGGAAGAATCCAGAAACCTGGTACTCAAGATTTACCCCAACATGTCTGTCCAATCCTGCTCCTGCCGATAGAACAGTGGTGAGGGGAGAACACAAAAAAGGGAGAAACAACAGGTGTAAAGGTGGCAGAACTGTGCAACTGTGCATCGGATAACAGGTTTCCTGATGCTGGACAAAAAATGCCACCCTACTCTGAAATATTCCTTCAAGAATAAGGGAGATGTAAAGGAATCACTTCCATTGAATTTGACTGACCTCTGCACTGACAAGAGAAGCACAGACAGTGTTTTGTATCTCCAAGAAGACCCATAAGTTATATGTTGCTGAATGCAGTCAGTTCAGAAGAGCATTTAAGAGATGTTTTTCCTGTTTAATAGCAGAACGTTTTTAAACACAGCTCATGTTGAGTTTGTGGTTTTGTTTTACAATGCACTGCAAAAGTATTCATACCTGTTGAACCTTTTAAAATTTGTTCCCAATACAACCACAGGCTTCAAAGCATTTCCCTGGGATTTTATATGACAGAACAATACACAAAACTCTCATTAGCAAAGTGGAAATACAAGATTGAGTGCTATTGATTTATTTTTTTTTCTTTTACAAATAAAACTATGTAAAGTGTGGTGTTCATTTGTATTCAGAACCCTCAAGTCAGAGTCAGATAATCACTTTTAGGTTTCTTCCAACTTCTAGAGACCTAGATCTGTGTTTGCATAATAATCCATCAAACACAGCAGACTGGAAGGATGGCATCTTTGAAAAGCAATTTCAAATTTAACATTTAGTTCTGGGCTTTGACTAAGTCATTCTAATACATTTATGTTCTTTGATCTAAACCATCCAATTTTGGTTCTGGTTGAATGTCTAACGTCGGTGTCCTGGAAGGTGATCCTCATCCCTAATTGCAGGTTTGTTGCAGTCTCAAATGGTTTTCTTACAGAACTCCCTCATCTTTAGATCCAACCATCTTCCCATCAACTCTTGGCAAGTTCCCTCTTCCTGCTGAATAAAAGCATTCCAATAGGATGATGTTTCACCATTTTAAACATGTTTCACCATTTTAAGTCAGCCTCTTACCCCCATAGGACAGTCAACTCTCTTTAAATCTCATCTGACGAGAATGGGTTTCTTCATATCCCTGAATGCCTTGCAGTAAATTGTAAATTGAACTTTTCAAGACTTTTGTTTCGCATATTTTCTTCCCATTCTTCCATTATTGCCAGAGTTGTGGATCACAAAACTTATATTGTTCCAGTTGATGTCAGATCTTTGAATGGGTTGGCAGTCGTTCCATGCTCTTTTTATATTGAGTTGATGGACCAAACCACATTTTTCATACTTTTATTTTAAAAAAGCAATAATAAAACAAATTTAAAAAACGAACTAATAGTAAACCCATGTAATCATTTCCACACACATCCTCACACATTTTGTTCTGCTTTATGTTGGTCTGTCCCTTAAAATCTCATCAAAATACACCCAGGTTTGTGTGTCTAATATGATGAGATGTAAAATGGAGTAAGAATACTGGTGAAGCTGAATTTTTTGACTACAAAAGCACATTATTATTTGGCAGCAAACAAGATTATTAAAAATTTCCAATTTTGTGCATACTTCATATGTGTCATTTTGTTTGCAGACAATATGTTGTTTATGTTGTATAAAGAAACAAATTGTAGAGAGCACTTCACACCCAGCAACTCCCCTCTAACACTTCAAGAATCTTAGAGTAAAAACATGTGTTTTGTAAGTTGTTTTCTTTTTGTTTGTTTGGTATTTTGGATGTGAAATCTGATTTAATATGACTCTAACAATAACTAGATTATGTACTGCTACTTTTCAGATTATACTGTTTTGTTTTGTTTTTTACTTGAGTATTGCTTAAATTATGAACATTTTTGCCTTATAAGAATTAGAATAAAAATAATTTAATCCATTGGCCTTGCAGTATTATTATTATTTTACACAGTACTAGTTTTTTCTTGGAAATTTTAGAGTGTGACGTTTTGTAGCAAAACAAAAAGGATATCATGGTTTTAGCATCGCTGGTGTACAAAAGCAGGAAGGTTCCTCTCAGAAGTGGGCCCTTTGAACCCATTCTTGCCCCACACCAAAGACTCAGGCGTCAGCCGTCCAGCGAATAATGTGACGGATGTGGGCTGCTACGGATAAATGGTTGATGGAGGAAGCAAGCCTTCAGCCATCAGGACGTCAGCCACTTGAACTTCAAAACATAGAGCACTTCCTCCTTTTTCTGCTCATTCAAAGAGCATTTCCAAGTGTGTTTCTTTTCTTCCTGCAGATGCTTGCAGACAGATCATCTTGTGTCGAGATGATCTGCTTATCCCTTTTACTCACAGAAGAAGAAAGTAACAGGAAAAGAGGCCCAATTTTTATGAACTATCCAATTACTACTCAGAAATACAGCGTCAGTGTGATACGTCTGTTCATAATGACGAAATGTTTTATGTGTGAAACACCTGGAAAGAAAACTGTCCCAAAGACAGCTACATGTTTCAGAGAGGAAGAATATAAAATGCCCTAATGTGACTGATTATTGCTGTCCAAATTTAAATTTGTGGTATTTTTGCCATGTTCATGGATGATGGGTATGTAAGAGAGACATTTGCAATACTTATTCTGATCATATTTTTGTCTGCTGAGAAGTGCTGATGAAAAATAAGTTAGTACCATCTTAAGTCAAAACGTATTATATTATTTTTGGTAAATTATTATGTTAACCAATTCAGATTGATATATTTACTCTAATGTGGCACAAACTGATACTAAAGTTGTAATTTGTAACTGTAATTTCTGATTTCTGTAAATATTAATATGCCTATTTACTTAGTTTAGCCTTTAATTTGGAAATATATCTTTTCAGTCTCTTAGGTTTTTTGTTGTTTGTTTTTTTTACCATTTTTATATTTATTTACTTATTTAGCTTTTCTCTTCTCCTTTTTTCTACTTCTTCCTAAAATAATTTATTTATGCATGGACAAGAGTGAAGTGTTAGTTGTTTTCAAATTTGAAATAATGTCTATTAGTCACTTCATTCTACGGATTACCAGGGAAACATTATAGAAAACCATATTAAAGGACTTAATGGCAAAGGGCATCTTTGTGTTATTGCATCTAATGATGAAACGGTAAAATAAAGACATCACTGTGAATATATGTTGCAGTATGAAATCAAACTTGACGAGGGTGAGAAAATGCTGCTTCTTTTTTAACAACCGGAAGTTTTTAGCAATAAACTAAGCATTTTATGAATGAACTATAGTCCAACCACCATTATAACTGCAATGATGGCTGCAATTAGAGCTATTATAAATCATGTTTGCTTTATGTCAAAGCTTCGGTGTGTCAGCATTCACTATAATAAAATATCTACTTTTTTCCCTTTTTTTTAACTTATTTCCTGACTGATCCTCTTTACAGTCTCTGCCTCCATTCTGCCATCAGAAAGTGAACTGCATGTCATCTACAATCACTCTCACAGGAGAGCCCAGAAAACCACAGCAGACTTGTGCAAATGGGCCAATATGTGTAGAAACCAAAGTGAAACAAGACAAGTGGGGAACCGAGAATAATATTTACCTTTCTACAGCATTATGGATAAATTATAGGGGAGCAATAAAGTAATTATTAGACAACAGAGAATTTTCTGTACCTGGATGAAATGGTCTGGTTATTGAGCTCAGAGCCATACCTCTGTTCATTAGTACAAAAGCTACTGTTTCTCTTGCTTAATCTGTCTAATCGGGTGAGTCTGTAGCTGCAATGTTAAGAAATCTCATCCTATGTGTTGAAAATATGAACTGGTTAATTTTTCTTTGAAATATTTTCCTCATCCAAGGAGAAATTCAGCTGCTTCAAAATTAAACCAACAGTAACAAAAGTTTCTTTTCACTGCATGTTCTATAATTCAGCCCCAAAAAGATTAAAATGATTGTTTCTAACTTTTAAAGATTGACCATAATTACTTTCATCCATCTCAAATTTTCAAATAAAGCAAGCTTTGATTCACAACTTTAATTAAACCTGAAAGTAAAAACTTTGAATCTGAAAGGTATTTTTGAACTTTTTTTTTTTTAGTTTCCCTTTTTTTCATTTCAAAACCTTTTCTTTTGATTTCTAATCTTTTTTTTCAGTTTCATTTGATGTTTTTGTTTTCGTTTCAAATCTTTTTGCAGATTGATTGTATTTTTTCTTTTGATCAAATTTTATGGCCCCCATTAAGCCCCATATTTGGGTCTTTGTCATAAACGTTTTACATTCACATGAGAGGTTATTCTAGAGTTAAGTCTGAATAGGCAACAAGCTGATTTGTAGACAGGATTTCAATCACAAATTCAAAGCAGTGGAGCTTCTATCAATGCATAATAAAATGTATAATTTACCTGTTAACTCTGCTTAAGTCCTCATGCACTTATATAGAATTTGATTTGGGCTCCTCTTCCTGTTAAGAATCCTATTAATTAGATAAATATATGTTGAGAACAAATCTTTTTGTTTTCACCACAGCTAGGCTTTTCATTAAAGACAAAAAATGTTGGATTTTCTGGTTATAATTTGGACTTTGAAATAACTATTCTGTTTGTTCTGTTTGATCCAGATTAAAATGTGGAAACCTCAACTTTAAAAAAAAAAACATAATTAAATCATTTTGTATTACAAATCCTGTTTTACAGGTACATCTCAGTAATACGGTGTATTAAATGTTACTTCGATTCAGAAAGTGAAGCTGACATTTAATATCCACGCAAAATGGTTTATTTCAAATGTTTATTGTACTTGATTTTGATTATTATGCTCTACAGCTGATAAAAACTGTTAAGAAAACATGTCGATCTAGAGGGCCTTCACCTTCTTCCATTGTTGGGTCCACTGAACAATACTCCATATAGCATCTAATGGATTTAGTTCTATTTTTCTGAGAACCTTTTTTTTTTTTTTTTTCATCCTCTCTAACAACTATTGTGTGACTGGTCAGACAAATGAAGTGCAAATGGTTACTACTGATGTATGCTAAGAAGACTTCTTGGAAGTTCTGCACCTGAGCTCTTATGAAGTATGAAACCTCCTGATGAAACTTTCTTCTTGTTCTTTCCACTTTGAGCTTTATTTGTATAATGTGCAGACCTTCACTGAGTGGTTTCAGCAAACAAAAAAATAATTGCATAAATGTTTGACTCATTTGGCTGCTTGTTCAACTATAGAATTACTAATGCTCTTTAGTGACAAGATAAAAACTTTTTGATAACATTTGATTTCTAAAAGCAAACTCAAGCCACACCTCGTGTGCGACTCCAAAAAAGAACAGCTGATAAATATAAGGAGAAACTGCACAGAAACATTTTCAACAATCGTCAGCTTTCCCGGAGATCTTTTCAACCTCCTGAGCCCCATAAGGCACAAAATAATCTGTTAAACTGCTTAACGTACAGGGCCACCAAGACAGACGCGTCCCTCTGCTGCCATCTGGTGGACAAACTGTAACGGACACGTCTTTAATTACATACATTCATTATACACATCAAAGTCTTCAAGTTTAAATTAATCTTTTTCTTTTCTTTTTTTTATGTTAGTTATGAGAAGTCATGTGTCTCGACAGGTGGTGTCTCTCTCTGAAGTATTCGTGGCAAATCGGGCAGGTGAGTTTCTCCTCCTTCCTACGTCTCACCTGAGATTCCGCCGCGAACTCCTTTTTGTGGTGAGAGCGCATGTGAAACACCAGATCCGAGGTCATGCGGAAGGACAGGTTACATTTGGCGCACCAGTTCTGCACCGACACGCCGAATGAGGAGGTGAAAGTCGGCGGGAGGACCGTGAGGGCGGATGTGGTCTGGAGGTTTCTGGACCAGTGCTCCGGCGCGTAATGGAAAGCGTTGCCTAATGGAATCGGGGAGGCCAAAGTCTGCATGTCACCGCCCACGATGCTGGATGCCATCAGGTTGTTGTATCCCAGAATAGTCCTGTTGGTGAACACGTCAGTGATCTCATCCACGCGGCTAGAGGGGGCTGTTGGAGCGCTGCTTAGTCGGATCTGCTGGTTCAAAGCAGATGTCCTTTTACCAGGTTTACAAAACGCGCTTTTCTGCTCGCCCTGGCTGCTCGACAGAACCAGAGAAAACGCGCTGTTGCCGCTCGAAAGCACACCAGATCCTTCCCCTGTCCCCAAACGTGTGTCAGGCACTTTATGGTGCGTAAAAGCTGCGCTGACTTCTCCAACTTCAGCTGAATCAGCGCTTCCTCGTGGCGCACGAACTGCTTTGACCCTGTCAGCTTTGAGTTTGTCAGGAGAGGAAGAGGATGAGGAGAAGGAATCATCCGCAGCCTGGTCGCAGCTCTTACCCATTTGGGTGACATTTTCATCGTTTGAAATATTCGTTTTCTCTAACAGAACCGTTTTTCGCCACTTGGGGACCGGAGCATCTTCGTCCTTTCTCTTTCTGGAGGGAGTCTCCGCCTCGTCGCTTCCTCCAGATATTTTTTGCTCTAGATCTCTGGCGATGTTGTGGAAGTCGGTCACTCGGTGATGCCTCTTGGTTTCCACGTGCTTGAGCTCATAGACCTCACGGTTCCAGGCGTCGCTCTTCGATTGGGTGCACAGAAATCTGCAATGAGCCACGAATGGATTCTGATTTTTGAAGATCTGGTTGCATCTCCCGCATTTGTATTCTAGAAAAGAGAAAAAATGCATGTATAACATCACTTGGGATTTATTTATTTATTTATTTATTTATT